ATTCTTTGGAAATTTTTTAAAGAAATACCCTAACTTTTAGAAATACTGGCAAATACATTTATATAGTACATTTACTTTACTTATGACAAGTAAAAAAGTAACTCTTGACAATTATAGTCATCTAACATAGTTATCTAACATTATCTTAATTGAAATAAAATATATATTTATGATATGATTGCAGCAATATATCACATATTTAGTATGCAATAAGTTCGTTTGTAACTAATCTCATTATTTGTAAAACAGACTTGGTGTCCAAAAGAAAAAATAAACTTAATTAATATGTAAGATATTTTGTGTCTGCTTATGCCTTCAATGTTTTTTACGAATTATAAACTTANAATAAGACTTGCTTACTGAAAGACGAAGACCTCGTATTATAGACTTATAAAAACCTCAAGTTTTAAATTACGTAATACTTAAATAATATAGTCTTCAACAAAATAAATTGAATAAGAATAATAATATACGTATTCATCACAGCATAGATAATGCATCTTTAATATTTTAAAACTTTTCTTGTAAGTATTGTCCAATTAATTCTTCTCTCAAACATGATATTTGATTATTCATATTTTGCAGCTGTTGCAGTATTTCTTTATTAATAGTTAATTCTTCCTTTNTTAATTTCAATTTTTCTTGTTTTAACTCCAACATTTTTTGTTTAATGTTTTCAGATGTAGAAGATTTTTTTTCTAGCAAATCAATTGCAGTTGCCATGAGTCGTGGCTTTTTTACATCTAAATAATATATAAAAAAGTTACTTAAAAATATTACTACATATTATTAAAAACATTATTTATTAAATAAACTATTATTAAATAAAAAAATATTACTATTATAAAATTATATACTATAATTTTTATACCTTCTGAATATTTTGCAGTTATGAGTTGCTTCGAAAAAGCTCTTGTCTCATGATGTTCCTATCAATTACCAAAAATAAAACAAATACCAAATAGTGATCACAATAATATATCACAAATCTGTTATGATTATAAAAACAATATGTATGCGTATTTATAATAATGTTTTATATATACCGATATATTTTCTTTATTTTCAATTTGTATATCCTGTATGTTCCTTATTGATAAATCAAAATATCTCTCTCTTCCTATATTTGATTGGATATTTTTAGCCACAACTGGTTGTCTTTTCTGTTTTGTACAAGACTGTGGTGAATCTATTGAATCCTATTAAGTAAAAGAAAAAATATATTAAATATATATTAATTTCTATTTCTAAAATAAACAACATTTTACACACACAGTAATAATTGTAATATTTTTTTATATACATACCCAAATTTTCTCATTATTTTCAAGTTGTGCATGTTTCTTCTGTAGAGTACAAGATTGCATTTGATATAAATCCATTTCTGATATTTCATTTAAAGACATTTCTTGTGTTTCTTCTAATTCTGTGTTATATAACAATGCAGAGGGTTCATTATAACTAGAACTTGACATTATATCTTCAATTCCACCTTCTGGTATTCCTGTTAATCCACTAGCATCTGGTGTCAAAAAATCTATTAAAGCTTTTTCTATACCAGTTAACTGTAGATGTTTCGGTGAACCACCACCAGTGCCCATCATATAAGTCTTATGTTTAGCAACTTTTTTTAAAGTATTAGATTTCCAATCTCTCCATGTCTAAAAAACAAAGCGTAATAAATTTAGTGTGAGCAATAACTAAAAAAATTTGATATAGTAAAATAAGAACCAATAAACTTGCTTTGACATTTTGTATTATAAAAAAC